AAATGTATGCAAGTTCTTTGTACTTCCTCTCAAACCAGTGAGTTCGTTCGAATGGATGATCTCAGCTTTGGAAGTTCAGATCCGGAAACACCATCCATAGCAACCACCAAACGTGAAAAAACCCAAGTGGCCTATGAATATTCTCGACTATCAGGAATAGTCCAGTTATCACCCGAAGACGATTGTGAATACTAAACATCGAAACGTGGTGAAGTAACTTGGTTTGAAATCTTTTTATTTCATTTATTTTGTATGCTTTGATCATTTATCTTTATTATGTCATTATTATGTACTTTTCTACCACTTTATTATTGTTTATATATAATTGACATTTCACTTTTCGTTCAACCCATTATCAATTCAACGTTATACCATTTCCACACATTTCGAACTTAATAACAACATTTTAGACAATGACAGTCGGAACATGTAACACTCAATTTGCTTATTCTTTTGTGGTTGTATATTTTAATTAAAATTGAATACATGAATAAATGAAATCATTCGTGACTCAAGTATTTTTGAAATCTCCATCTCGAATGAAAAACATTAATTTTTCCATTGCTGATATTTTTTTTTTTTTGTAAAAAGATTCATTTTGATGTCAGACTTATTGAAAGTCATTAGTTACGTTAAGCCGTAGGACTTATCCTTCAATCATTAGTTACATCAAGTCATAGGACTTATTTTCGATGTTGAACAAAATCTTGAAGTAGTTTCGAATTATTTTTTATTTTAAAGTTTGTGTTGCTACTGAAGCGTGTTTTCTAGTTTTCTGAACTATTATTTATTTTTATCCTAAGGTTTTAAACAGATTTTATTTCTATGGTAGTCCCGAGATGTAGTAAATACAATTTTACTCGTCTTTTCTTTTAGTGTGTTCTGCAGCTTTCTGAAAATTTCCCAAAATTCAGATATTTTGTCCCAGAGTGTCAAGCAATATTAACACAAAACTTATTTCACCTCGGCACTTATAAATGTTCTAAACCCAGCTCCAGACTCGTTTTTCGATCGTTTTCAAAATACAGTAAATTATGTTACCTAGCGATAACGAATACAATATTCGTTATCTAAGAAAACATTTGTGTCAATTCGCAACCGGTTGGGAACTTTTTTGTATATCATTTGGACCTCTTTGAAGGTCAAGGTGATCTCCTCTTATTTCTAATTTGTGAATGATCCCTAGAAACACTGTTGTATTTTTCGTGAGATGAAGTTTTTAGGTTTTCTTACTCAATTCTAACAATTTCAACTAAAATACAGGTACTAATTTTGTTTCAATCACTTTTTGAGTTATTGACTCAATTTTTATAATACTGCCATGGTTTAAAAACCTCGGGCCTAACACATAGACACCGCTTTTCCAGTTAGTACCAACCTTCAAACAAAAGTGTGTGAGTTATTGTGCTAAGAGTGAAACTACGTCTGTTATTTTTAAAACAGTGGACCAAAAACAATTTCGTGTTTTAATTTTAAACTGCTTCTTGATGAAAAAAAAATACCGTTTAAGCGAAGCATTGACTTGAAAATTGTTATAAAGACTCCGCTACATCAGAAACAACAAGTAAACGTTGGTTTGCTGATGTCAAACGTGGTCGTAGAGACATCGATGATGCAGAACGCAGTGGACGTCCAAATGAGGCAGTAACACCAGAAAACATAAAAAAATCCACAAAATAGTTTTGAATGATCGAGAAGTAAAGTTGCGTGGCTTTAAATTGCATGAACATTCAACTATAAGAAAGCTCTGTTCAAAGTGGGTGCTGCGCGAGCTCACTGTTGACCAAAAACAAGAACGTCTTGATGATTCTGAGCAGTGTTTAGCCATGTTTAAACATAACAAATTAGAAAGTATGCGTCGATATGTGACAATGTATGAAACATGGATCCATCACTTCACTCCGGAATCAAAATGATCATCTGAGAGGAAAGTGTATCTGACCGACTGCGAAAAACACTACTGCCAAACAGTAGTTGGAAGTATGTTATGTTTGGGAAAAGATCGAATGAAATAGTAATTCCGACTGAACTCAGAAAAACAGTCCTACGAGCCGCAGATGAAGGCCATTCAGGTATAGTTGCGATAAAAAATAGGCTCAGGACAAAGGTTTGATGGTCAAAAATCGATTATGACGCCGAACACTTGGTAAGAACGTGCAGGGGGTGTACTTTAGTGTCGGCTCCAAACCACCCAGATCGAATGATACACAGGGAACTTCCGACATCAGCATGGATTGATATAGCTATAGACTACATGGGGCCTTCACCGAGTGGAGATTACTTATTCGTAATAATTAACTACTTCAGTCGTTACAAGGAGGTCAAAATTATGCGAAATATCACCGCAGCCAAGTGGTACTACACGAAATATTTTCAAGACTAGGTTTTCCAGTATCGATAACTGCAGATAACGGCAAACAAGTGACATCAAAAGAATTGACGGATTTTTGCAAAGAAAGTGAAATCACCCATTTTCATTCAATACTTTATTGGCCTCTACAAAATGGGGAGGTTGAAAGACAAAACAAGGACATCCTAAAGAAACTTAAGACAAGCCAGGCAACAAAGGAAGTCTGGAAACAAAGGCAGTTTGGGATAAAATTCCCAGTCTGTTAACTCCTCATTCTGTCAATCATGACGAGATTAGAGACAGAGACAAAATCAGAAAAGAGGAAGGAAAAAACTATAGTGACAAGAAAAGAAGAGCCACAGAAAGGGATATAAGACCGGGTGACAAAGTTTATATTCAGAATATGGTCAAGGGCAGTAAACTGGCTCCAAACTTTGATCGTACACCGCATGTCGTTGTTTCAAAGAATGATAGTGATGTTCTGGTTTCTCTGGAATGATGCGGTTATTGCTGAAACTGAAGCCTTTTTTGAGGCAAAAGATAAATCGTTCTACAAAAGTGGTATTGAAATGTTAGAGTAACGCTGGAATGATTGTGGATTCCTTCCCAAAAATTAATCTCTCCTGACAATAACCACTTTCAATTATATAAAAAATATTAATTAGTTTTTATAACGTCCCTCATACTTATCAAAATAGATAACCGACATATTTTCGAAACACATCAAAGCTCGTTCGTATTGTTTTGATATAATAACAGATATATGTACTGAATTCTATATTGGCCATGTTGCTCCTTAGTTTAGCTTCAAGAAAATGACTGATCAATAGTCTCCATCGAATCAAAGCCATGATTGCATTTTTGGATGATTCCATTAAAAACTTTTGTGAAAAACCCACATGAAAGTTATAGACCAATTTGAAAATATGTGAAAATATGATGTTCAATTACTTGAATGTTTGAAAAACCTGAAATGAAAATTAGTTTCGAAGGTTTTTGCAAATATCAACTATTAGTGAGAGTTTAACTAATTTTCAGTAGTTGGAAGATCTAGTTTTCGATACGATAAACACACTGAAGATTTGTTCTATCTTCCTCATCGAATGTATTCAATTGTCTACAATATAAAGTTTTGTAAAAATATATTGGTGTTCATTGAAAAGCAGATATTTAATTTTTTTTGTTTTCCGAAAAATTGTTCGAAGTGATCTATGCGGTTTTGAAACTTGACTTCCTTTTGAATGTATATACAAATCAAACATTTTTCATCTTTATCATAATTAATTTTGAAAATATTATTGAAACTCTTGTGGTTTGACAAAATGACGGTACTTCATAGCAAAAAAAAAACGATAAATCAATAAATGACTATCTCTTCTGGTATGTGCAAATGTGTGTGAAGTTGGTTTAAAAAAATCAATTCAGCATAGTCAAATGATTGCTCATTGAAAAAATACGTTAGTCAGTGAAAAAATTGTGTTTATCCATCTAATTCATAAATGATAACACTTCATTTTGAAAAACCTAGGCTAACTTTAGGTTATCCCGAAACTCGTACCGAAATGTCGTTATTCGTGATACAACTAAAGTCATCTTTCTAAAGAAAGTGCTCTTTCGTTTGTCAGTCGTACAGACAGCCAATCAAACTGGTGGATAAACGTTGCCAAACCATCTAAAATCAGGAGGGAATTCTCAGAAACGTAGACATCAGAAATGCTGTTTCCTATATAAATTAATCTATTCTATGGAAAAACATGGACTAACAATGGACAAACGATGAAGCACATTTACTTAGGTTAATAACGAAAAAATCGTGCCAAAATGAAGTTAGCCCTGTTTTGGTAAATGGAACTTCATCTTTTATAAAAAGAAGGACAAACATAAGTTTTTCATTGAATAACGTTGCTATTTCCACCTTCCTCAAATACACATCTTTGTATTACGTTACTTTTATTTTAATTGATTGCTTCCTTCCTTTCTTTGAAATATTCACACATTTTGTTGTATTAAATGGAAATATAAAGCCAAAATCATTGTTTCCCATAAAAAAAAATGATAATGAAAATACTGATATCCTTCACAAAAAATGATTTTTGTTCAATATTTGACATACACATTAAAATACACAATTCCGAAACACAACGCGAATAGAAAAAAAATCGATCCCTCGTAATCGGCATAAATAATTTCATTTAACTAATTTGCGACTTAAACGTGACTCTTATAATGAAGATTCCATGGAGTCTCTATTCGTGCACAGTGAAAATAACCAAGGCATTGCGAAATAGACAGGCAAGTGACCTACGATTCTGTTTCGCATTCAAACGACATTTGAAAAGCTCTAATTGTCGCGTTTGCAGAGAGTTTGTTAATTTTATTATTCGATTGCAGTTTTGAAGAGTAACACTTTTTATCTATCACACGTTGATTTTAAAAAAAGTGAATGATTGGTATCTGCTCAAGGCTGTATCCTACATGGTTAAATCAAAGGCAGCACTCGAGAACAATTATAAGATGGTATAGATATATGAAGGAAAGAATTGTAAGATTGGTTAAAGAATAGCAAAAATCTGCTCTTGAAGAAAACTAGTTATATCGGTATAAGTTTGTGAAAATTGAAGTAATAATGAAAAAATTAAAATCAACTAACCTTCAGGATGTTAGAATAAACACGCCCTATATACCACACAAAGAAATTATATAACTTATTATTTAGAAAACTTTTCGGGTCACTTCTCAACAAGTTCCAGTTACATGTACAGAACTGTATTCATTACCTTAAGCAAGTACCTACTTTGTTACTAGTCAAAACAAACAATATCAGTACATGGGGTAATCTGAAAAATATATACCTATATTTGAAGCGTGCAGCACTAAAGCAAAAATACATTAGAGCAGGTCGAAACGTGCTGAACTTGAAATTCCTTATTAAATTATCCAAAAATTTGGATAAGGATCATATGAGGTATGAACTAAACTGCTACGAAGTAAAAACACGTACATTAAAATCGCTAATGAAGAAGATATGCATGCTTTTTGATAACATTCCTTCTTGTTCGAGAACACAGTTAGATATAGCTAACAAGCCATTAATAGCAATTAAAGATTGCATATTTACGTTGATAGAAATATCAACGTACACAGTTGCATATAGACATAATCACCAAGAGAAACTTTTCAGACATCTTGACAAAAATCCCAACAAAAAAAAGTCAAAAGAGAAAAATACTCAAATGGCCAATTGAAATCTGTTTTTCCAGCAACTTGTGCAAGCTAAGGATTAACGAGGTTTACCCTTTTGGCGTGGGTGGTGTTAGTGTACATCATGAGAGATGAATCTACATATGGGTGACAGAGCATTTTGATTCAATTCAAATAAACTAATTTCATATAACTGACAAATTTTGTAGCCTCCATGCACAATACATATAACGTTGAAAGCCCGCAGATACCATTAATAAAAAATACAGTTGAAACAAGTTGATATCTCATTGAGTTAATAATTTACAGCAATAATGCAAACAACCCAAATCCAATCTTTCATTTATTCCTTGGAGTCCAGGTAAATTATATTAGGTTGAATTTGAAAATCCAGAAGAAAGGCAGTGTACTATTCAACTATTCGAAAACTATTCATTAACATAAACATACATTTCAAATAGATTTGATGTTTTTGGGTTTTTGGAAAAGAAACAATGTCCTCTTAATATAAATAATGATTAAGAAGGAAAAATAACATCTAAAACACAACGATGATGAAATGGTGATAGAAATGTTGATCAGAAGTTGGCGGTAGCTGACTTGTTAGCTACCAGAAGCTTGAAGATCTCAGAAAACAACTGACTGATAAAAAAATTTAACAAACTCTAATAAAATTTCACCTTAGCTTGACAATACATATGACCGTGTTGGACAGGTAATACTCAACATTTTGATGAATCAAAGAAGTCAGCTGGCAAATAGTTATTGATAGTGAAATCGTTTAGAGATGTTATTTTTCTTCAGTATTTTAAAAAAATAGACCCTAATTATTGAAAGTTTAAAAGAAAACCAAAAAATGGATGCCCTTAACAATGAAAACTATTAAATTGATGTTTTAATATACTCCATAAAGTGTTCCGCAACTTTCGCAAACTGAGAACGTTACTCTTCAAAATTGCAACAATCTATATTCGTAATATTCCGAAATTTACCTAGATTTCGCCAGTTATCCAACAATAAGAACCGAGACAATTTTTTTTCACTGAAAATCGAAAACTTGTCCGTTTCCACCAATAAATCACCACACTGACGGACGGTCTTTTGAAAGATCGCGCTACAACGTAACATCGAGTTTGCTGTGACAAGAGAGCTCAACAACTGATTGTACGCGTGAACTGCACCTTCGTTCACTTTACGCGAGACGCGATAGGCAATTGTCCGGCGACCGAAAATGGCGGGGGACAACGCATCTTGGTCATCTCTGAAGGTACTGCAGCATCGGATGTTGGATGTTCTGTACGGTTTGCTCCAATCTCGACCATCCACTCATTCTAGAACGGTACTAATGTCGACCGCACTATTGACTCAATGGATTCCATTTCTCTAGCGAACATGAACTAACTTAGTTCTTCACGTTGCATCACTTGTTTCTCAGACTGACATTAGGCGTGTATCTACAGGGTGTTCCGGAACTTCCTGCCCTCAATTCAAGAGCACATACAGTATTAGAATGACATTGGGATCAATTCAGTTAAAATAGTCCGGAGCACTTGTCGATACGTCTACAAAAATTACTGTCTATTTCTTACGTTAGAAGATTGAAAATTGTAGTTGTTTCAAGTCATGGTTGAAACGGAAACAGAAGGAAAATGTAAGACATTGAGAACTGACACATTTTTGGATCAAAATGGCCGTCGACAGCAATTGTCAGCTCCTTATACCCTCGAGCGAAACGGGGTTGCTGAAAGATCTAACCTAACCATAGTAGAACGAGTAAGATGCGTTCTTGAAGGAGCAGAATTGGATAAAAGTTATTGGGCAGAAGCTGTTACCTGATAAACCGTTCTCCAATGAAAGCTTTAGCCAATTGAAGCTTGGAGTAGAAAGAAAACCCATCTACGAGTTTTCGGGCTTTCGTTTCTTGGTTGTGAAGAGAATGCATACAGTGCATTTTTTTAATGTCCCCCTCTCCTTTTATTTTTTGAACGGGTCAACTCAAAAAAATTGAAATTTGGGATAATGAAATTAATGCATGAAATGGCGACTGGGTGCCACCTGGAAAAAAAAATTAAATGGAAATGGGGGTCTTGTGACACAACATTTTGAAGCTCCTGGCGAATACTTCACAACCCTAGAATATGAAGTCAGTATCTTCACCTACTACAAAATGGCGGAACATTTAATAATTTCCTGAAGACAAACATATTAATATGGATATTTCTAGAAATATTCCTTTTTATCTGTCATATGGCAATTCCAACAACCCGATAGGGTTTGTTAAGTTTTTTGTTTATAAAAACGACAAAAAATGTCAGTAGGACAATGAACATCATTTTTCAGTTAAAATATTCTTATTTAGTTTTCGGGTTTACTAGTAGANATATACAACTGAATGAAATTGTGTGGTTACATGTCAGAAAAGTGTAACATAAAAACAAACTGAACGCACAATTATCGAAGGAATAGAGAGAATCATATGAACAGCTAAAGAAACGTCATTTCTAAGCAGAACGAGTAGCTGATATTTCCGAAACAGATCAAGGTAATGAAAATTGCAGACACGTAATCGTCAGCCACAGCTAACTTACAAGATTACCTCTGTTTAGCTAACTTATCGTTAACATTGACAAAAGACTTGGGAATTGACTATTCAGAAGAGTGTCGGCAAATTATAGAACAGAAGCTGAGGTTGAATGAAATCAACAATACTTGAATATTGTGAATGAAGGGCAATCAGATGCAAATGAGTCTTCAAACGCAAGAAAGTATCAAATGGGCGGAAAGAAAAGTGAAAGGTGCAACTTGCTGTCAAAGATTTTTCACAAAGAGAGGAAATATACTGTGAATAAACATTCAACCAGTTATTCGTCAGTCTACCCTGGAAGCCTTGATTGCACCAGCAACTGAACTAACGATAAACAGCGAAACTGCATGCCTCAAGAAAGCGGCAATTACTTGTTTTCCGATTGACATTACATTCTATAATCTCCACATATACTGGTCCTGATTATTTTTGGACCATTGTATGGTAAAATTGGACAACGTCAGGAGAAACTATAAGGAATGATGTTTACTTGCTTGGCGGTCCGTACTATCCATTTAGGGGTATCTTACTCACTACGGATATGATAATGGCAGTTCGAAAAATGGTAGCAAAACGGGGGCATCCCAAAAAAAATCTTTCGGACAATGGTACGCATTTTCGCGTACCATCAGAGGAATTAAGAGCAGGTATTCAAACTTTGAATCAAAGAAAATCGACCGACACCATGACAAACATTTCGAACACAAATTGGAGTCGCTTCGACTAGGTCGTGAAGTTTTGAAACCTCCCGCGTATATGTACGTCATTTATTCCTTTGCAATCTGCAAATCTCCACTTCGACGAATTTCGCACGTCCTCTCCCATAACCCATATCAGAAAAAACTATATTTTTAAAACGTTACCATAAGAAAACCAACTTCTCAAATGGGTTGTTATTAAAAATGGGCACAGGTAAATAAATAGAATAATTTTTGGACCTTCTGAACCGCTTAAATTACCAAATAAAATTCAAATAAATAAGATTTAAAATCAAGTTTTGATTGGTGGTATCCACAATCGTCTTCTGGTGGTAACTGAACTAGTACTGGTAGTGGAGACTATCTATAGGTCACTTGACCGCTTCAACCTCTCCCCACTCTCCCCTATCGATTTTCGGTTTCGTGCAACATAGACCCTTAATCCGCTTGATTGGAGGTTTCCATATGTTGCGTATCTCCACACTACCCTGGCTAAATGCGTCGTTGGTCTGAATGTATGCAAGTTCTTTGTACTTCCTCTCAAACCAGTGAGTTCCTTCCACTGGATGATCTTAACTTTGGAAGTTCAAATCCGGAAACACCATCCATAGCAACCATTAAACGTGCGGACTGCAATTCCAATAATTGCATTTACCAGATGCAATGCCGAGTGCAACAAATCCTATATCGGTGAAACCAAGACGTCCTTGGAAGTCCGCATTGGCGAGCACAAAAAAAACACTCAGCGAGGAGAATTCAGAAAATCGTTAATAACGGAGCATGATTTGGCTCATCATCATAATATCATATGATCCACATCCACACAAGCTTGAAGAAACTGCATACATGTCAGATAATGTGGATATAGATAAAGAACTTTTTTCGAGATCAATTGCCCTAACACCAAACTGATATTTTTGCACACGACGCGCGTTTCGCTAACAAAGTTAGCATCCTCAAGAGAAGAAAATTGTCAGTTTGGTGTTAGGGCAATTGATCTCAAAAAAGCTATTCAACTTTCACACCAAAGGTTCCAATCTCATCGTTATTCATAGTTATGGATATAGATAGGCAACTTATGAAAACCTCTAATCAGACAGGAAAACAATCTATGTTACACTGAAGTGGAAATTGGAAAGATAGAAGGAAGAGTGAGGGCCTAAGTGGCCTATGAATATTCTCGACTATCAGGAATAGTCCAGTTATCACCCGAAGACGATTGTGAATAGTAAACATCGAAACGTGGTGAAGT